AGGCCAAAGAGATACGCGAGAAAAGACACGATTCCTTTCACACTGTGGAGTGAGAGAGTGATCGATAATTGTTTAACTTAATCCTTAAGGGCTCATTAATAAATAATTGCCGTAGGAAGGAGAATAATAATAAAAATAAGATTTTGATGATTCTTGGGAGTACATTGCTGAGGATCATACGCATCCAGAAACAGAATCACCTATGCCAGGGTGAATAAATCACAAATGCAATTCCTTAACAACTGAAACAGACGGCATAAACAACAAGACCTGCGATTAAACATAGTTAGCCGAACGAAATTACCCAGCCAGCCCGTTAATTGGGCCTGGGTGCTATATTGAGATTATATATAGCTAATGATACCACGTTAATTTACGACAGTTGCAGGCATCGGTTCGGTTTGGGTTTACTGAGATGCCAGGTCCGACGTTAAACCGGAGCAACTAAACAAACCAGGGGAAAGAGACCGAGTTTACACTCCCGGCCGGCGAATAGCCACCGACTTCCTCTCAGACAATTATTTACCCTTTTTGTTCCATTTATAAACCTATAAAGTTACAGTCGTTAAATTGATTTACAGCCCGCCTTCGATACGTCAAATTAGGACCCGTCTTAATTATAAACCAGTACAGGCCGTTACATTCGACTCGATGTTACAATCGTTTCAGTTTTCAACTTTTCAACTGTTCCGTTTTTCAAGGTAGATTTTTTAAAAAGAAAAAATGATTCGTCCTTGTTGAAACTAAAATGTTTCAACTTTAACACAGGTTGTCTCTGTATGTAACATCATTCTAAGTTTTTGACGATGTAAAGACAGACCAATCCCGAAAAATTCACGTTGAAAGATTCATGATTGATCATGTGAAAAGAACATTCAACAATAGAAAAATATGATAAATGCAACTGCATAAAAAAAGACAGATTTTGTTTTTCTTGTCTCCAGGTCGCATAGTAAGCGTAGGTTGTTTCATTTAACTGGAGTTTATCTCAATGCACGATATTATGACATATAAATAATCAATAGAAGCATATACCAGCAGTTGAATGGTCCAACAGTAACAAGTAACAGCCGTTACACAGCCCTTTGGACGGATATGTGGTAATTGATGAGCGGTCTCTAACAAAACTTTTTTTTAAATCAATACTTAAAGCGTCTATATTTGAAATTTGAACTAATTATATCTCACATTATCAAGCGTATATTTTAATACCTATAGTTGTGCTATTGTTACATAATTGGGGTTATTGGTGAGTGTATAAATTTTATAAAATTCTAGTCATATCAAAACATCACAGCGGTGATATCACTAGGACCGACTATCACTCATTCAACCAAAATCCTCCAAAATGCGTGTAATAAGATAAACGAATGGACAAAAAAATGGAAAATCAAGCTAAATCAGTTCATCTAATCTTTACAAACAAAAAAGTGGACCATCGCTCAGAATCGATACCATACAGCGATACAGCTAAATATCTGGGAATGACCTTAGATGCCAAGCTGAGATGGAAAGAACACGTGAAGAAAAAAAAGGATAGAAATAGGTTTAAGGTATAGACAACAGTACTGGTTGACAGGACGTGGCTCCAACCTTGCTATACAAAAAATATTATTATATAAACAAGTCATAAAGCCTATGTGGACATATGGTATTCAACTAGGGGTTGTGCCTAACACAGCAATATCATAATCATACAAACACTCCAAAATAAAATCTTACGTAACATGGTCAATGCATCTTGTACATAAGGAATAATGTCTTAAATAGGGATCTTAACATCCCTGAGGTCACGGCAGAAATACAAAGATGTGCCGCCAAACACCAGGCTCGTCTCGGCCAGCACGAGAATGTGGAAGCGACCAAACTCTTACATAACCGAAACATGGTCAGAAGATAACATAAGATACAGAAAAGAACAAAGCCATATGATCTTTGTAGTTAAAAATGGATAGTGAATAGTGAAATGTAAATCTTATTGTACCAATGGGTTTATAAGAATGTAAACATTTATTTAATCTATAATATTATTGAAAAATTAATGGTTGGTCTAATAAGACCAGTTTTAATAAATAAATTTAATTAATAAAAAAATATCAAAACATCGTTAAAAAGAGATTAATATCGCTGAAGTAAATTAAAATTGCAGGTAAATCGGTCCTCGATATGAGAAAATGGTTGAGAGTGGAGTGCACAGGGCGACCATCAATGGACGAAGTTTTACAGTGTCTAGGTGGGTAGGATTATCCGAATGATGGATATTGTTCAGGTATTTAACTCTTCCTTAGTATACCCACGTTTAAAGGTTGAAGCTTCTAGTATTCAGACAAAAGATAGGATTTCAGTACTAAATAAAAGGTTGAGAGGAGGATAAGGGTGAGCTTGTCAAGGCAGGATGCGATACCTTGTCAAAGGACACGCTAAGTTCTATCAATTTTCCAAGACACGTCATGCCTGAACTGCAGTAACTTTTTTAGCCGCCAAAACGTCACTATTTATTCTGTGATCTCAGTACCATCCTGCTTACTGACAGTTCGTTCAGTCCTGTAATAAATGGAAGATTTCGCGATGGTCCATCGAAAACGGGACCATTTATTTCAACTTTCATCCATTGTTAATTCGATTGCCAAAAGGCAAAATGTTAGTGTTATTTTGTTACCCATGCCACATACTTGCAACAACACATCACTAAAGACAACACAAATGGACAAAATGGACGAAAAACTGTGCTGTGGCTCCACACGTTCAGTCTAGTCATCGTTCTTTTCATTTTTCCGAACTGGATTCAGTCAAACTAACATAAACAGAGCATAAAATCGGTCCTAATGAAAGCTCCAATGTATTATAAAATTGGTGAGATTCCCTCTACTGTTACGCGGAGTGATGAACATGTAGTTTGGTCGTTTCCAATCGTTTTGGTCTATCTATCTTCCCAGTTGGTGTGGTTAAATGCCTACTTCTCCTTGCTGAGAAGCACTGGAAGGGACGAAAACCAAATTCGGCAGAGGTCATAACAGCGAGTATTGAGGAAATCATCAGAAAAGACCAAACTACGGAATAACTTTTGCTCTAGTGGGATATTAGAGATAGTAAAGTGGTTCAGACTGAAACCAATTACAAGAATGAAGAAGAAAGAAAACTTCAGGAAAGGTTATTCAGAAATCGTGAGATGCGGTCTGGTGTGATGTAGATTTCAGAAAAACATTTTCTTTATCGTGCCAACGTTTCGATCTTTATTGAGATCATCTTCAGGGCTCAAAGTGTTTGTCTTCTGGGTAATTGTGCCATTCTTGCGTGTCTTGTTGAGAGTGCCTTGAGAAGTCGTGTTGGGCATTCTCAACAAGACACGCAAGAATGGCACAATTACACAGAAGACAAACACTTTGAGCCCTGAAGATGATCTCAATAAAGATTGAAACGTTGGCACGATAAGGAAAATATTTTTCTGAAACCTACATCACACCAGACCGCATCTCACGATTTCTGAATAATTATCGATTAACGGTCACTAATCACCACACATTTCAGGAATGATATTGAAAAAAAGGAGAAATGGTTGAAAAACTGTGCTCTGCAAACTTTAAAAAACGAAGCATAAAACGGGCTTTAAGCTTTTGTACTTTTCTTGTAACTTTTACTTTGGTGATTTCCGACCATTCGGGTCGGCTTATCTAATATTTCTTTTGGCATCTTCAGTGGTGTGTTTGTGCTCTGAAACTCCCTGCTTATTTCCTTGATCCTATCCATGTTTTGGTCAATACACCTATCTTTTTTCATTGTTGGATACAAAAAACAAAATGTTAAGTTTTCTTTTGTCACCTTGGCATACAGCTTTCAGGCAATGTAAAATGTGATGTTTCGTTTTTAATCCAGGAAACGTGCTAATCCTTTCACAAGAGCCCAGAACAAACAAGGAATAAAATTTTTACTTCTCAACAATAACTTTTACACCAAAAGTAACCAAATGACTTGAATTTGTTTCAAGCATTTCTGGGACTGGGTTGATCCAGTTTGAGTGCAGTTCGATTAGAAGAAGCAGTCTTTCCTCTGAGTGATCTTTATATTCTGACATACCACTTCGATAACAGTTGCATTATTGAAAATTCCCTTTGAGGTGCTCGAGGAGATGAATTTACTTCGATGAAAATACCTTCTTTTTGTTACTTTTACATTGGCTATTTCAGACCTTTCTTTAGCAGGTTTGCTTAGCATGGTCATTAAGAAGCTTGTTGGTATTTCTTGATATTCTCAGTTGTGTATTTGTGCTCTGTAACTCCTTATTTACACTGATGATATCCAACTTTTTTTTCCAACTATCTCCATTGTTAATTTGGATTTAAAAAAAAGCAAAATGTTAATTTTCTTTTATAACCTTGGCTATACATCTTTTGTAACACCAACGAACGAAAGTCATCACGAAAGACGAAAACAAATGGAGGAACAAATAGAAAAAATGGACCAAAACCTGTACTGCGGCTACACAGTTAGGTCATCTACTTAAGTTTATTCTTCCGATCTGGATTCAGGCATAACATAAACAGAGCGTGAAATCGGTCCTAAAGGCGCTCAAAACAGCGAGAATAGGGGAACCAAATTTATCATAAACGACCAAACTACTAACTTTAGCTTCACATGCTCAAATTATGTGAAGAACGTGATGACCTGTTTGATAGTAGAGATGTACGGTTCGAAATCAGATTGTTATTCAATAATGAAAAGCAAGAAAAATTCAGAATTGCATAATATTACAAGGAAGAACAGTTTTTTGGTTCAGCCTAAAATTTTGGTTCAATTGTAAGAGGAAACTAATAGTGGTCTATATTTGTCCGTTGGTCGGTTGTAGATACTTATCGGCTTTTAATTTATGAATAAATGGTAGAGCGAATGTTTAAAATAGAAATTAAACAAAGTACACTTTGTGTTAAAAAGGTAGGAGGAACGGTTGATATCGGGCCAACTGAGCCGCAAAGAGTAAACATTTGTCTCAGAACTTTACTTACTTGACTTTGATCTCGGCTCCCTCGGGCCGTCGACGGTGACTTTAATGGCCTTCGTGTAGACGGCGATTTGGTGCGGACTCGAACCGATGACGATCGTCAGTGAGAAGCTCTTCCCTGTGGGCAGACGGACAAAGTTAAAATAGATATCTGAGCACCGGCTATTTTAGGAGGCGGTAAATCTAAGCCTAATGGAAACTCTTCACATGCGATACCACTTCATCTCACTTTTACAAATTTACAAAAACACTCTCACACGTGAATAGGAAATGTGAATACACGAGATAAATAGAACTAGAATAACATCATCCTATCAAGGGATCAGACAAAACACACCTTTTTATAATGACTAAAATTGTAAACTCTAAACACAATTTTTGAATAATAAAATTGAATTTCATTTAGAATGGATATAAATAAGACAAACAAAAAACTTTTATTGGTGGAACAGTAAAAAAGTTTGTTGTTGTCATGGTGTTATATGATTGTTCTATTATTCATCTCTTTTTAATTCATGCAAAAAGGTCGAAAATGTACAAAATCCTAGTTCGTTTCGTTTAATTCCGAACGACTGTACTTAGTCACAGTATAAGCAAATGTTTACTCAAATGGTTGAGACGATATCTATCAATATTTGTTCAATTTAAAATTACATTAATATTTTTCTACTTTTTTCAAAAATAAACATAATTTTTTACTCGTGACTCAATAATAAATTTGAATTTGAAAAAATATCACCTATTTATCAACAGACGTTCTATTTGAGTGAGTGAAAAAATGAGTCAAAAAGTAGCAAAATAGAAAATAAATGACTATATTTTAAATCATATATCAGAGGATATTTCTCAGATGGTCAATTAATCTTAAATGGGTTCACAATTGTTTTGTCAATTTTTCCTCATCTTAAACCAATCCCAAATTACGAAAAATGTGTGGTTTTTATAGTGACCGGTTGTTTAATAATCGTTGGATCGTGAGGAACGGCCCTTTATGCCCTGAAGATGATCCGAATAATGGTCGAAACGTCGGAAAAACGTGTTTTTCTAAACCTCCTCATTCTTGGCCTTATCTCACGAACCCAACAAGTATTAAAAAATATAACATTTCTAGCTCGTAAAAGATGCGGTTGGTCAAATGGTGCAGACGAATTTTGAAAAGGTTGATGAAAATTCTATGACGGAATTTGACTCCAAAAGATAAGCCGGAAAGTTAGTGTAAATTGATTTTTTCCTCAATTAAAACACAAATACAATAAAAATTATAGTTCTGTTATAGTTCTGTTTAAATAAACTAGGATTTCACATATTAAAATCCTTTTGTAGTCGTGTCTGTTGTACAGGTAAGTTTTAAAAGGAAATAACTTTTAATAAATCATCAATCAAAAGTCAATCAATGGTTATATTAAAATTTGATAGTGAAATAAATTATCAGTCGAAAATCTCTCAATGTTAGAGGGTACGTCGGCTTTCAAGTGCCAGGAATAAAATTTCGCGTAAAAAGTATATTGACGAAGGAAAATAAATTTAGACTAGGACGTCAGGTACCTAAAAATGTGTTGTTTTCGTCTAAACAATACAACTAGCCTGTTAAATATATCCTTTGGACAAAAACAAAGTTTCTAAAAAGTAAGTAAAAGAAATTCCTGCTTACTTGTACGGACATGTGTAGTGCAAAAGTTACAGAAGCAAAATTTTGAAAAACTATCAAAACGAAATAAATGTTAACAAAAGTAATAAAATATTTAACGGGATTAACTCGAATTATACGAGTCTGTGTGATTAATACAATTTCAACAAGCCATAATTATGAAAAACTAAGCGGGTCTTGTTTAGGCGTGGTTTTCTCTTTAGCAAAGTTTGTTTTAAAAAAAATAGCTTCCTTTTGGATCTAGGGTCAAAATCAAATGATCGGGGTCAATCATGGCGATTACCATGCTTGTTCTGAAAATGATCGTTTGACCGCTGTCGATTCGTTCACGATCATGCTGATGGTTTGAATACATGATTACATCGAAAAATTATCTTGTTCCTTCATGGTTTGGAAGATGAATTTCGCATAATCAATGAGGTGAATTTAACAGGAAATTAAATATTTTATTTGGCGCTGGCGGAGAACAAAATAGAGGCCAAGTTTTATGTAAGACATTCTTCGGGATTAGTTCATGAAAGTTAGTTGACAGTTCAGATTTGTTAAATTTATCGAAATTTAGGATTATGCTCAGAACAGCCCTCGTGAGCGACTACAAGTTAAACTATTCACATCACGGACGCAGTCCGTGTATAGCTTTCGGGTCAAACGGCACGTCGAGTCACACTGAAGATGGCGAGAGGCGCGCCAGCAAGGACAAAACAGCGAAAGTCAGAACAAAAAAGGAACGACCAACCTACAGGTTGACCACCCCGCAGACCTCAAGAGGAAATTTCAAAATTTTTAAAGTTTGAGCCTCAATATATATTGTTGTTTAGGTTCAAAAGCTTTTAGGTCCGGAAGATTTCCGATTTTCAAAATCTGCTGGAACTAATAGCTTTTTTAACAAAATTTTTAAAGTTTGAGCCTCAATATATATTGTTGTTTAGGTTCAAAAGCTTTTAGGTCCGGAAGATTTCCGATTTTCAAAATCTGCTGGAACTAAAAGCTTTTTTAATAAACCTAAACAATAATATATAGAGGAAATTTTATTTCTTATTCAACTTAATGTGATAATTAGTCGATTCCCAGTGATACTGATTGAAAGCCCGCAGAAGGAAGAACTTTTACAGAAATTTTGAATTTATTGTATGAACACTGGTCTGTATATCCTCGCTTATTTTTGTTGGCTTAGACGCGTTTCGGCTGTTCGTCATCTTCAGTGTTTGGGTGATATTTGTTATACGGCGAAATGGCGAAACACGTCTGAACCAACAAATATTAGCGATTATAGGAGGACCAGGATGAAAGGATCGCGCAGACCTCAGGAGGAAATTTAACAATTTTGGATTTGTTAAAAATTTACTCACGTGGGATAAGAATTTAACTAATAAAAAATGGGACGAAAAAAATTAATAAAACCGTTGTCCGTGGGGGAGTTGAAAATATGCTAAAATCTGAACAAGAACAACCGAAGAACTTCTGCGTCCTTTACAAACAAAGTTTGGTGCGGGACGATGCCTCTGTTTCAAAAGTTCCGTTTCACCGCTTTTTTGGGCACCGTCATACCAAGTGCAAAGAGGAGGCGATGGAAATATCCGTATTTAGGCCGAAAGAAAGTTGCAATGGGGGGAACTTGTGACATTGTGGCCAGCCATATGCGTTTCACCTTCACACTAGGGGTCATCGCCTAACGGAAACTTCCCCTTTGTAACTTCACAGATTGTCCAACTGATGCCGATTAGAAGAAAACTTCGAGACGGCCTATCATCGAATCGAACTCACCCCTTCCGCTCCTTCCGACGAACCTAAGATCGTTGAACTTGGCCACCTGGTTTTTCATGACTGCCGTGCAGTTCCGCAGTTCTGCGCAGTAGTTCTCGTCGTTGCCCGCCCTGACAGTGACGACCGTCCCGTCGTTGACATCGTCGAGGGCGATGACTTTGAACGCGGCCGGCAGCGACTTGTTGGACCTCCAATGGTTCGGGAGGGCGGAACAGAGGATGCTCGGGCTGCCGGTCTGGATCAGTTCGCCGTGGTGTTCGCTCAGCGCGGAGCAGACGCCGCCGTACATGTCGCCCCACATCGCGCTATCGCTCCCGGCCGGAAGACGCATGAACCGACCCACTTTCCTCCTTGGAAACCACTCAAACTTGACACGGACGTCTTCCGCCGCTGAAGAATAAGCGTAGGTCACACTCGACAGGCAGAGCCTCGGAGCTCGACTGGTGGAAAAAGCCGACTCCTACGCTGCCTTTTTTCCATCCCCACTCCTCTGCGGGCGTTTTTCCGTCGATATTCTTTGGGGGGGGCCGTGTTTTTTTGTCGGGCGGGCTGGGATTGGAGGGTGGCCACGAAGCGGTCGTGTTCTGTGGCCAACCCTTGGCAAACCCCTCCCACTGCCACACAGGGGTGGGGGCCGCCGACCTACCCTCATAATTGACACGTCTCCCACCCGCTTCTTCCTCCCCGCCGACCTCTTCTTCCATCGTCCGACCTTCTTCCATTCCCCACCCCCCGCCCGGCTATTCGCCCTTCGCCCTTCGCCCTTACCCCGACTCTTATAAACAGCGTATTAATGCTCTTTATTTCTCGCACCTCATCAAATTTTACTCTAATTGCTTTACAACTTGCTCTCCCCCATTTTATTGCCGGCCCCTTTGTCTTTCTCCTTCCTTACACTAACCGTCTTGTTTGTCATCGGATTCCTTTAGTAGTTCAGCCACTTTTAACGTTCTCTAAGAGGCTCTTCCACCCTTCATGTACTAAATTAAATAATTCCATTGTTACTTTGTTCCTTTTATCGACCGACTTGCATATTCTACGACCTAGTGGACGCACTATCCCCTGACCCCTCATCAAATGAAATTCAATCGCTTTTTGTTTGTAATTTTACGTACCCTTAGAGTCTTATGATTTTTGTTTCATTCATTCGTGGTTTGATTTTTTAAAATAATTACATGATATAATTTATTATGAACAGAGTTAGTTATCGAGCTGTATGTCCACTGATTTTTAGGGGATCAGGGCCCAATTGAAAACTATTACTATATCTCTGCCAAACTTTCGACTATCAGGGCTCTACAGAGCGATAATATACATAATTTCTTAAATTCACTAATTTCGTGGCCCGCTTGACCAATTAATTCATGACAATTAATTAAGGTTTTTAGTTGAGATGAATGATTGATGAACTCTTGATTTTCCAAGAGAATTTGTTATTTGAATATGTTAGAAGTCAAAATTATGATTAACATTATGTATATTTTACAATTAATTAAGGATTTTAGTTGAGATGAAAAAAAGTTAATGGAACGAGAGGGATTCAAACCCACGACCTTTGGCTAGATACGCCGCTGCTCTACCACCTGAGCTACCGTGACCTCGATCCACTCGGTCATCAACTCCCCTTCAACTTCGGTCGTGGGTTCGAATCCCTCTCGTGCCATTAACTTTTTTTCATCTCAACTAAAATCCTTAATTAATTGTAAAATATACATAATGTTAATCATAATTTTGGCTTCTAACATATTCATATAACAAATTCTCTTGGAAAATAGGCTTATGGATACACTGTCCGAGAAACTGAACAAAAGCGGTAAGTTATGGCATATAAACATAACAAGACAAAAGCATTAATAAGACAACGGCATCACAAATGATAAGATAAAAACATTAACAAAATCAAACTGATAAATAATAAACTAATTTTAATAATCCATATACGTTTATCGGTCATAATTGACCATATTAATTATTCCAATCAATGTTCTATTTATCTAAGATCTTGATTGAGATGAAAAAGGTAGTGTTGGGTTCGAATCCCGCTCGTGAAAATAACTTTTTCATCTCAACCAAAAATCTTAAGTAAAAAGACTAATTAATTGCACTAATTATAGTTGATGACTAGAGGAGTTTCAGCTTTACCTAGTCACTTTTCTTACTTCTATTATTTATCTACGAATGTCTGCGTGTGTGTGTGTTCATTTGTGAATTATTTTTCAACCACCATCGAAATAATAATCACCTATTCCGGCGGCATGATGATTCACGTTTCGTTGCACCACCATCATACCCATTGGCAAAACAAATAGTAATCTACTCTTACAAAATATTCTTTTATTAAAACACTATTACAGCATTCGACTGTATTTTTGAAAGTATTTTCTATCAAGCAAAACAATGACATATTATAAAATTGATTGAAAGAATTAATTTGGTCAATCAAACCACTTAACATAATGGATTATATAAAATTAAGTAGAAATAGCCGAAAAAACTGTCTTTTTGCAAAAACGTTTTTAAAAAAACTTTTAGAGTCAAGAAAGTAACACATTTGCTTATAATAAATGTTCAATTAATCCTGCCATATCATTATTAGTCAATATAATGCATTTTTCGATGTTAAACTTTGGCAGAAGATTTGGAGGTACTCAGAAAGGAGTACGTGGTGCCAAGAATTTAGTTTAAGTGAAAAGATGGGAGGCCCAGAAAGAAGCCCTGAGGAATCCTCGCTTTTGCCATACATAAGACAATTTAGCACTGAGGTGGAGAAACCAAGAGAAAAGGGACTCTCAAATCTCAAATCTTTTGACCGAACTATTTTGTGATGCTAGTCTTGAAGTTGACCCATGACAAGCTTCTGCAGTTTGTATAAGCAACTTAGAAAAGCCAGGCAATCAGTTAACTCGGTTTGATGGAAAATAGCCAGATCGATAATGATTTTATAATCATTGAAAGGCCTGGAACTGCATTATCAAAACACAAACACAGTAACGATCCTGACTTTGATTTTGAGAATGTTAAGATTATGTGTGGTGTTTAGTGACGGTTAGTCAATGATTATTCGGAGATCGTGAGATGCAGTCTGGTGTGACGTAGGTTTTATAAAAACATTTTCTTTATCATGCCAACATTTCGATCTTTATTAACTTTATTGAGATCATCTTCAGGGCCTGGGATTTATAAACATTGTTTAAATTTTACAAATGTAGGATGTGAAAAAATGAATTTATACAACGCTAGAAATTTCAGATTAGAAAAATTATAAATAAATAAATTAAAAAAAATAAAATAATTTCTAGCGTTGTATAAATTCATTTTTTCATGTATTTGTAAAACTTAAACAATGTTAATAAATCCCTGGCCCTGAAGATGATCTCAATAAAGATCGAAACGTTGGCACGATAAAGAAAATGTTTTTCTAAAACCTACGTCACACCAGACCGCATCTCACGATCTCCGATAATCGTTAAGATTATGACTACTGAGCAAAATATGAAAAATATTAAAAGAAATGATGCACGTTCATCAATATACCAAGACTTGTAATTAAAAAAACCTATGATCTATGATGACCTATGATGTGATTTATAGCGGAATTTAAATAAAGATAAGCCCTCTTCGAAACAAATCAGAACAATCCACATTAAATTTTAAATAATGAGAACAAAATATAAACAGTCATTTATGTATTTCTTCACGTACAAAAACCAGTCTGTTATGAAATATTAGTATTAGTGAGAAATATAGGTAAATCCGTTGTGGCAGTGTGTTTAACCTCCCACAAAAGGAAAACCTCAAATAAGTCTAGTCATCGCCATGTGATATATAAGTACCTGTTAAGTGTAGTTGTTTTATTATTGATATTTTATAGTTAATTTTCTTAATTATATTGTTCAAAACTAATGTTCTTTGAAGATGGAGTTTTGTTATTATTTGACAAGCTGTTTAATTTAACATTTTGACTAAGTTTATTAGACACTGACTTTTTTATCTCAACTAAAAACCTTAATTAATTGAAATATATTAATTGTTCAAGCGGACCACGAAAACCAGTGAATTTAATAAGTTCATTAGATTTCGTGATTTGATTGATCAAATAACTTCTTTCAAATAATTAATCTTTATGTAAGGTATGATTTAATATAAAAAAGTCCGTGTCACGAGCGGGATTCGAACCGACGATCTTCGTCTAAATACGCCAATGCTCTACCACTTGAGCTATCGTGACTTCGATCCTCTCGGATTTTGGCTAAGTTCGTGTAAGTTATCAAACATCTGTGATACACCTATATATATGTACGAAAAATAATAAAAATGTTTCTGTATTCTCTGAAGAAGACGAATTATATCGTCGAAAGTTCGGCGTTGGTGCAAAAATAAGGAATTCTTTCTGACCTTAACCCTAATCCTAAGTAACTATTAAAAAGGTTGGTGATTGCATAGAAGATCCTATAATAAAAAAAGCTCAATGTGCAAAAAAAATTTGGCAACTAGATGACGTTTTGATAATCACAAAATTTTCTAACTTAAATATGTATTTTTAATTGAATAAATAAAGGTTAAATCTGTGAGTAGAGCACTCATTTTCAAAAAGCGAATCTACATACTCACTACACCTTCAATTTCTACGATTGTTTAGAGCAACTTTAAATAGTTTTGATAGATCGAAACCTATTGATCAATTTTTGTCTGAATTTTCCTGCTCCTCAATCTCAATCAAACAGGTTGAACATGACATTCCTGAGAGCAATAAATTAGATGCAAAGCGGGAAAAGGCGAGTTTAAGAAGGCTGCCTGTCTGTCCTGGGCCGCATGGCAAACGTTTACAGGCAGGCGAATGGGCTTGCTTCAGGCTAACATTTCCTGTACTTAAAAGGAGACAAGATAATGGGCCAGTTCGAGCCGACGGACCAATTGACCCGGCAATTACACTTTAGCAGGCAACAATCAACAAATCCACCCTCTGACAATTAAAACGACAACTAAGCCGTTTATTATCCATCCCCCTAGAATCGACGTACTCTTCTGGGCTCCGTTTGCGGTCTGGCTCGACGAAAAGTTAGGTTCTAATCGAGCGCCGCCTTTCTCCAGCATACTGCCGAAAAATCTCTTTTTAACTTCACTTTGAATCTCAAAGAATTCACATTTAGGAAATAACACAATAGCATGGCGTATTGCTACATTTTCTCTTGAGTCTGCGGGGGTATTGAACTTGTAGTGTGGTTCTTAGTGAACCTTTGTTCCATAATTTTTTGAAGTCATGAGGAGCGTTCAAGAATGAGGTACGAAGGATTGGATGCGCTGGATGATGGACGGCATGGCAAAACTCCACAATTCTACACAGTATATCCAAAGTGGTCTCAGTAAAGTCTAGTATGAGGTTTCTTGTATAAGGTATAATAATTTGTTGGGGATGATGAGCGGTCAGGAATGAAGTATTTTAGA